CATGCACTTTCATACGAAATGAAGGTCCCTCTAACAATGTTATCTCAGGAGATTTATCGAAACCCAGTTTATCTTCGTATCTATAACTTTTACCAGTCAGTATTGTTAAATCTCTCATATCAACTAGCCAATAAGAAGTTATCGCTCAACCCAGACAACACCACTCGGAACATGGCTCATGTGCTGTGCTGTGGGGACCAGGTGAATCTAGCCACCGCATCGAGCTCCTCTGTTGAGGCTATTAGATGACACTAAAGGAGCACAAGAGTGCTTTAAGGCAGACTCAGGCTAAGGACTGTTCCCACTTCTCCAGTTGTCATTGCTTCCCTGTGACAGTACCCTTCCACACGAACGCCACACTCGGCCATCGTCTTTGCTTCCCCGTACATAATCTTCTCATCTAAAATTTCTTATTTTATACAAGCTATTTCGTGACTTTTGTTTCTCTATACAGGGCCGGGATACTCTACACTGTAGCACGTGGCCGAGGACATATTTTCACTGAATATTTATATCAGTAAAAACGTTGACATAAATGATGCAAGTGCGTTCAGTGGATCGAAGAGGGATGGCTCTTGAGATCGGAGCAATCGCTAGATTTAAGCAAAACTCAGAAACATGATTGTTGACTCAACAGATCGATTGCCGAACGCAAGCAATTAGAGTTTGCACTCTTAAAGGACCACCTAAACCCTTCCGGAGAACAGTCCAAGTTAATCAGGGCGCGCCAATGCCGCAACGCAAACCCTCATCATGCCATCCTCTCACCAGGAATGATTGCAAACCTCGACGGATATTACCTTCCAGAATTAGGTAAAACTCATTAAAATTTCACTTGTTTACATATTGATTTTCATTTTATATCTTATATTGGTCACTAAACCCCCTTTCCAGGCTTCCCTCCGCTTTTTTTTACCTTGACTTGCTTGGAGGTGAGGCCACTGTGTAAAATACCAGGAATCAGACCAAGTCAAAAGATCACGTTAAATATACCAAATTAGGGTGCATAAGCAAATAAGTATATATATATATATATATATATGTATATATATATAGGCATCAAAGATAAGTGAAAAGAGAAAGATCATATCGACTGGTTCAGTATGAGATCACAGTGATGCCGGGTCCACGCGATGCATCGCCATGAAAACAGGGATTGCACGTGTTCAGGTTCGTAGAAAGCAAGCGTCGATAAAGGAGTGTACATACTCAGCGAGAATTGTGCCGATTCAAATGAAGGACCCAAATAAACGTATGTATATAAACAAGTCTGGAGATCCTCTGACGTGTTGACAGTTAGGAGTTAACTAACAGACGAAAAGTGACTGTTACCATTATTAGCAGCAGTCAATCTTTATTTCTGTTGGACTAGAAGAGCGAAATCCGTGCTGGCGTAGGAGATGCGCGGAAAAGAGCCAACTTGTCAGAAAGTGGTTCCCCTTTGGAAGGAGGCATGTGAGGACAAAAACTGAAGAAATAAACTAGATATAGAGAAGGATAATAAAGCACATTCCAGCAGATAAATGAATACAGATGGAAGAAAAACTAGTAGGTAAATTACCATAAATAGATTTAAAGTGAGGAGTTCGTATCAGCAATTAGCAAGGTTTAGCAAACATGGAACATCAAATAGAAAAGGAGTGCAGAGGAAAGGGATTCCGAAAGTCTGAAATGCATAAATCCTTCGTAGTGCAAAAGGCAAGGTTATTTAGCTCACAAGAATGTGGCGGACCAAAGTGTATCAAAACAAACATACGAATATACATGGATACCAAAGAAATTGAAGAACCAATCCGACATTATGACGGTAGGGGCGGCCAAACAGGTACGGTGTCTCCAAGATGAAAGAAAGATAGAAAGAAGGGCCAATATAATGAGACCGGTTAAGTAATCAGAGGAAATATTGCAGTTTATGACCTGTCATTAGTCTGAGATCATTGAAAAAGTATGAGATAAGATGGTCATTCTTGTCTGAAAAAGCAGAAAGCATCTATGCACAAATTGTATTGAGGGTAATTTGAAAAGTTAGCTAACTGTTTTAAATATTACTGTGTATAGCAGGGTCGGGTAGAGAAAGTATGGAAAAAATCAAGTGACTGAGGACATCGGGAGGCGATAAAAGTCTCCAAGTTAATAAGAAGAGACATACGATCCCAAAAAATGAAGATGGCATGGATATAGGGATCGTTAGAAGTATAGCATGTGATAAAAATACGAGAGAAAAACGTCGAGTGATGTACTTCAAGTTGGACATTAGCAATGGATAATAAACACAATAACGGTGGAAATTACTCAGTGCAACATGAGTGGAGAACCCGGAGGCCCAATTAATCCAGACAAGTGAAACAAGAAAAATGAAGTTGATGAATGGATTTAATGCAGACAATTGAATAAAACTGACCTTGATTTAAGGGATGATAGTATTATCGTAGCATCAAGATGAAGCAAAAATTAGAACTAAGAAGTTAAAACTGAAAATACTGATGTAAGAATTAAAAGGGATCACAGAAGGATGAAATGTCAGTGAACCTTTTCAAGAAAGTGAATCACGAATGGCTAAATAAAAGAGAATATTGGGTGTGATTCAAGTGACATTGAGGTAAGGTAAGGGATATCGGCTAGTCTGCTTAGTTAAAAACGCCAAGTGGGAAAGCCCATTAGAAACACTCAGGTTGAAAGTAACCATATAAATTTATATAAGATCACAGTTTTGCGGATTATTTAAATATAAAAGTATTTGTAAAGAAAAGAACAGTTCAGAAGTTGTAGCAGAGAACAGAAGCATGAAGAATACGGAGAGATGGAAAGCCAAATAAATCTGAGGGGAACTATGATGAAGGCAACCATAAAGAGGACGATATTTCAGGGGAAGATTATAACGATAGTGTAGATCGTAAGTAAACAAAGGATAGCTGTCAGCATGCTTGGAAAATTATTCCATCTGTACAAATTCAAGAAAAAGTAAGAGGAGCAGTTGGCAATGAGATACGGAGGACACGAGCTTGATTAGTAGAAGACCCACAAAAAATCGTAATTACAATAGCGAATTCTGTTTTCTATAATTCGTGACAGAATTTTGAACATGTTGATCCAAAAAGCCCAAAAAAGAGTGAAGGAAGAAAAAGAGAATGACCCTGAACTATCATTTCGCCGTGGCTTGCTTGCCTAACCGTGCCAATGCCGCACATTTTCCTTAATCGTTTCAACCTCAAATTAGAAAAATTCATTGGCAAATATTATGGCAGCGAATAGGCGAGGCTGAGCGAATAAGAAGGCCCAAGATGGCAAGGAAAGTAAGAAGCCTTCGTGAATGCAAGGAAGAGGCAGGTGCTGTTTATAAGTAAATCAGCACAAGGTCTCCATAATTGGAGATGAGAGTAAAGAACCATTGGAGTATAGGAACTGAGAATGGATAGGAGTAAAAAGACGAGGCTCAACATTATAAAATTAGGTGATAAGAGCTGTTCGCATTGAAAGGAACATGGCTGTCGATCTCAAAATATCGTGAGATGTGAACGGATACAAAGATATAAATGTAAAGAGAGTTAGATGAAGATAGATAAAAGACAAGATATTTGGAAATATAACGCCAATTTAGTCGGCAGAGATCAGCTATAGAGCCGATATCAGGCAGGCAAAGTAGGTTCAATTAGTGGATCTGTCCTGTCAATGTGCTCGATTAAATTTCAGAGGTGAGTACAGCAGAAGCTGGCATGTACTTTGTGTATCCCCTAAACTTCCTAGTCGGCACGACGGATGAGAACAAGATAAGGATACCTTATCTTGTTCCTGAGCAAGCTAAAGAATAAAACCCAAGTCGTTATACAAGTCAACACAAGTGAGCATGCATATCGAAAAGGAAGGAGTTAATGTCTCAATATGTTGAAAAAGGGAATCAAAAATTAGATCGAAGAGGCAA